GGAAATTCGATTATAACTACCCACTTGGACAACATTCCTCTTCTCTTGTTACAGTGAAAAATCTTTGTTCCATTAAAGAAAACAAGTATTAACATACAGGAAACATAAAATACACAGTTTTGATTTTTGAAACTTTATTCTTTATTTTTCAGTTGCAATAAATACACATTCTTCTGATTCTTGGAAATCATAAATTTCTATATCCTCGAATTTCGTTTATTCCATTAAAAAGCAAATATTGACATGCAATGAAAATAAAATAAAAAGGCTGTATTTTCAAGATTTTACTCTTTATTTTTCAGTTACAATAAATACGCATTTTTCGCATTCTTGGAAACGACAAATCGCTACATCTTCAAACTTATTTCCTAATTTTTATAACAAAATAGATTCAGTAACCTAATTTTCACGCACACTGTCGCAAAAAAATTGGCGATCGCTAAGAATCGCTAAATTTAGGAAAAAAGTGGTACTTTCGTAGAAACAGAAAAAGGAGAAGAGAAGAAGCCGGTGTTTTTCTCCTTCTTCATTTCTCACATATTTCCAGCGTTATTTTTGTTTGTATTTCGCGGTGCCGTGGACCGGAAGCGGACGTCCGCGCCGTGAAAAATGACCGCCGTCGCGGTTCCGGTCTCCAGTGCGAACCTTGCCTTTCTGCCCGGCCAAACGAAATGTGCTTTCGTTGCTGGCCACCCCTTCTGCACCCTCTCCCGTGAACCTCGTCGCGACCATAACCCGGTCGTCGTCGTCGTTCCCCTGGGATCGGACCGTTACTCCGCTGTGTGCGTGATCTTTTGGAAGTTTTATTGCGGTTCGAGGTAACGTACGCCTTGGATTACTCCTCTGTCGCTGGAGGAAAATTGAGAAAGTGATTACTCGTCTGCTGGATAAGTGTCTTTTTGGGTGAACGATGATGCGAGGGTTGGAGATTTTCAGGTTGATTATGGTGGTTTTGGAAGAGTGAAGGGTTGGAGTTGTTTTCGTGCTGCTTCTTGAGGATTGAGGAATTGGAATTGTTTGGATGGCGTGCGCTTGGCCACCCCCATTTGGGCCACGTATGGCAACTGTTAGGAATGCCCAACTTAGGCATGCATTTGTAAGAAATGCGAGATTTCGGCGGCGAAGTGGTGGGCTGGACTTTGTCACCCAGGAAGAGGATGCCATAAACTAAGCCCTTCCCTCGGAAAGTCCAACGAGGGGGCTCCAACGGTTTTTCGGAGCAACGCAGGATAGAACGCGGAGAGGACACTCTTAATATAGTCGTCGAGCGAGACGGACACCCGAGTACCTTAGCGGCCGCTTGCATTTATAAAATAATACGTTTCGGTCAATAGCCTATCGTGTGTTGCGTTTACTTAAGTTGTGCTAACACGTTATTCCTTCCGAATTAGGACCTAATGCGGCAACAATTAGGCTTGCAATATTTAGGTATGCCTAATCGTTTCCGCAATAGGCCCACGTTCGTCTTTAGGCATGCCTAACCGTTAGGACCCTGCAAGCCTGGCAGGTGCAGCCTGCGCTCATCCTTGTCTAGGGCCCCCTGCGTCTCGGATCCGGCGGTCCTTGTTTAGGCGCGTCGCACAGCGCTGTGGCGGCCCATGCACGACTAAGACAACGAGACGCACGCAACGGACGTGTCTTCGTCGCCGTCGATGACATGGCGGGCCGATAACGATCGCTGTCCTCGGTGTCGAATCCTCATCCCTTTGTCCCTTGACTCCCATGCATACAGATCCTTATCCCAAGTACCTGCGCGTTTTCCACTTTCTGTCTTATCTCCGGCAGACCTTCAAGCTGATGCACTCTACCCATCTTTTTTGTACCGAATCCTTAAGTTCATTACCTAACCATTGTCCCTGCAATTCTTCTTTCCAACCATCGAACCCTCAATCCTAACGAGTTCTGGTCATTATCCTTACACATTCCTGTTCCTTGCCTAACGGACGCATTCCTAAATTCCCTCACTCGCAGCTCTCAAAAACCCTAATGTAAAAGCGGTCAACATTGAATTACCAGGCAGTTTAGACCGTCCACGTTATATTCGCGAAAACCGCATTGCAAAGACAACTATTAACAAATAAAGAAAATTCGTAAAATCGAAACCGTCTAAAGTGATTCGAGATCCACTTGAGATCCATTCCGAGGGCAGCCAGGGTCCCGACCGACGACGCCAAGGGCAGTCAACCGCCGAAAATGACTCGGACGACATCGGCTGACGGCACGAGACATTTCACCTCGTATTGGAAATAAAGAGTTTGAAGCGCAACCACGCGTATATTTATTCCCCCGTCGCCCACAGCGCCTTACACATATGTCCACGATCAGACGAGGAATATCCACGTTTCTCTACGAACCTCTTTTATCTCCGATTTCTGCAGTTACACTCGTCCTATTATACACACACACACACACACACACGTATTTCCAGTCCTCTGGACAGCATGAAATATTAAGATAAATGTATTACGCTGGTCGAGGAGCGTCCTGAAAAATAGCGCGTCACTCTTCAGAAATAAATGAATATCTTAGCAGCACCACCATCAATCTTATCGCTTATCGACTGGTTTATATACGTGTACCCACGTTCAGGCTAATACGTTTCAATTCTACCGACGCGACGGTCTAAAGTGTTTTCGAATAGAAATTCCTTTACTTCTATTCCGAAGCACGCCTTCCACAGCTCCTTTCTACCGTTATAAGAAGCAATAAAGCTGGAACGCTTTTCGTGTTCCTTCGCCGTTGCCTCGACGAAACAGATTTTTCTATCGCTTATGTTTGATTAATCGCATTAAACCTCGGGTAAATAGATTTTCAGCGAATTTAATGTTAAAAAAGTACTGCGAATTTTTTGCAAAATTTCAAGGTTCTTAAATTGAACACAGGAAAATTATTCTCACTTAGGTATTAATGATTTTCTAATTTTCAAGGTTTTTGTGTTGGGAGAGAAATTATTTCGAAGAAATTTTCCTGCAAAAATTACGTTTCGTTATTTTTAGAGTTGCAAAAATTCTGATTGAAAAATTATTACAAAGAAAATTGATTCTACCTAAAATCACCTTTAACAGTATCTTCCGAAATTTCTACAATGAAGACATTTCCGCCAGAGGAAATAGTAAAATAAAATACGAGTTGCTCGAATAATTGATAATTTCCAGTTTAATTGGCAGGAACAATAATAAAAGTTCCAATACAGAACGAAACACAGAAAGTTTCTCGAACGATCATTAAATTCCACTGGACAAATAAAAAAGAAATAAAACACACAACTGGAAATAATGGAATTTAACATTCTCGAAGGCACTCACACCCCTTACAATCCAATTCATTCAACACACACCATAACGTCCCCATTCGCCGCCATTTCACATGCAATATCCCGTCGAAATTGCCGAAAACACGGCACGTTATCCTTCACCATGAGCGACCGCAACATCGCGCACCATAAAGTGAATAATTTCGCTGGGACGCCATAGTATGGCGTTCGCCGATAGATTTCTGTCGCGTTATTAAACTTTATTTTCCCCGTGGTTTTCACCCCGATCATTTAACACGCGTGTGTATACAGGCTCTCTGAGAATTAAATCATTACAGTGTTTCGATGTACTCTGCGATTAAAATTGAAGGGAAAATATTTTGTTATCAAACTGTAAGTTGTTGATGTATCATCGTCGAAGAGACGAAGAACGGCAAGAGGAGGTTTTAGATGGAACGAGCACGTGAGCTCGCCTCGGTCTAGCGATTATAGCCATAAAAATCATTTGGCTGAGGTGGGTGAGGAACGTCGTTGCACTGTTTTCACCTCAATTGATTAAAATATAAGTGTATGGTCGGCGTACAATTTGTCCAGAAAATACATTCGGTCGCGACTGCGGACGCTTATGTGTGCACTACTGTACTTGAAAGCCAAAATTTAAGCTTAGGAGTATAATTTCAAGGATGGTTAGGTTTCAATATTTTTCTTTGAGAATTTCCATTCATGCAAAGTATTCCTTCTCGTTCCTCTCTCAGAGTCCGCTAAAATCCTTCGATCTTCCAACTTTGCAGCAAGCTGTACAAGGAGGTTAAGGTGCGCCGCGCTGTTTAATCGAAATTTTACGCCAGGGGGGACACTCTACTGCCCTAACAGTCGTTACATCGCGCTCACACACACACACGCACAGAGACATACACACGTGGAATAGCGCTAATTGATTAACGGTCAACAGCTGCGGAGGCAGCATGCTAATTCGGGCTGACTCTCGAGCGTGCCGTGCCCGTTAACGCTCTCGTAAAATCTGTTGAACGCGCCGCCGTAATAAGCATTACGTTCCCTCGGCCATTCACTTGAATTTATTGAATAAACGGTCTGGATGTGAATCGTTGTACTATGCTCCTGGTGTCGTCGATGGCGGCCACTTATTCCCGAGAATGCCGATACTCCTTTTCCTTGGAAATTCATTTTTCTCTTCTCTTTCTCTCTCTCTCTCTGGATGAAAAGATTATGTTTCTGTGTTGTTTTTTGTTTTTTTGTGTTGAGAGAAGAAGTGTAAAGTGTGATTTGAAGTTGTTGGTGAATTTGCATAAAATAAACTAAATTTTGCAAAATTTTGTGAAATTTTGTAATTCTTAAAATTTTGTGAAATTTGCTAAAATTTCCTGAAATATGGGAGTTCTATGGTACTTGCGCCCTTTGTGCGAAAAATTAGAAACTCGATTTCCAGGAGAGAAATTTGTGTTCAGAAAAAGCGTCTAAAGAGTGATCTGAAATTTCCAAATTCATAAAATTTTCTGAAATTTTCTAAAATATGTAAATTCTATGGTGCTTCGCACCCTTTGTGCGAAAAATTAAAAACTCGATTTCTAGGAGAGAAATTTGTATTCAGAAAGAGTGATTTGAAATTTCTTAAAATTTCCTAATATTTCCTAAACCTTGCTGAACTTCCCTAAAATGTGCGAATTCTACGATACTCGCACCCTTCTTTGCTCCTCTGTTTAACCAGCTTGTGATTCTCGTTACAGGAATGTTCCGAGAATGCGTTGAATTGATCGCGTTTCGACGAATTTCGGCTTTGGGGATGGATTCGACCGTGGCGTTGCTCCTTCTGACCGGTGAGTGATAACTTTTGGTAAAACTCCTATGGACTTTGGTCGATTCGCGAGGCAGTTACTCGCTGTTACCGTGCCCGAAAATGTTGAGAAGTTTCGCCATTAGCGAACCTTCGTCCGTCCTATCACGGTAGCACAGATCGATCCTTAAATATTTATCCCAGGTGAGAATAAATTGCGCCGTCGTTTCGATGAATTCAGATTACCCAAGTTTTTTAATTCGAACCTTTTTCAAGTACATATACGCAGGCATCCGGTGTGAACGAAGTGTAATGTAGATTAAACGGATGATAAAGCTAACGTAGGATTAAACGGTAATTAAAGTGAGTGTTGCATCGATGGGTTCGAATGAGATTTGTGTTCACTGAGAAATATAATAGCTGTGTAGTAAAAATTTCGAGAAAGTCTCGTGGCTTGCAACGTGCAAAATTTTAACTTTGTTAGAGGAACTGAAAGATTGTTTACAGACCGTCTTCTGGAAGGAAATTCTCTGGTTCGATGATTTGAGAAAAGAAGAGGAGGGAAAGGAAGGAAATTTGTTAGCAGGAGCAGGGAGAAAGAGAGGAATATGGCTGATTGCCAAGGACAATAGAGAAATGGCAGAGTCCTGGTGTGTCCTGCGTGAGGCCTCATTCTCGTTCCTGGACCTCGTACGACCTCTGCACCCTCTGCCTATCTTTTCTTTTTCCCCTTTTTCACCTATGTCTGTCTCTGTTACTGTCCTGCTCTCTCCTTGTCCCTTTTTATATTTTTCTGTACTTCCTCTTTGTATTTCTCTCTCCTGCTCTCTTTTTGTAGTTCTCTTACTCTTTTATTCTCTCTTCTGGTATTTCTCTCCTTTCTTATTCCCTCCTTTTGTAACTCTCTCTTGCTCTCACCTTCTCTCTTTTTGTATTTCTATCTTTCTCTCTTCTTGCATATCTCTCCTTCTCCTACCTTCTTTCTTTTTATTTTTTTCTCTTTCGCTCTTCTTCACCCTTTTTGTAATTCACCTTCTCTGTTTTTAGAATTCTCTTCTCCTCTCTTCTTCGCTCTTCTTGCATATCTCTCCTTCTCCTACCTTCTTTCTTTTTATTTTTCTCTCTTTCTCTCTTCTTCATCCTTTTTGTAATTCACCTTCTCTGTTTTTAGAATTCTCTTCTCCTCCCTTCTTCTCTCTTTCTCTCTTATTCTCTCTTCTTGCATATCTCTCCTTCTCCCACCTTCTTTCTTTTTATATTTCTCTCTTTCTCTCTTCTTCACCCTTTTTGTAATTCACCTTCTCTGTTTTTAGAATTCCCTTCTCCTCTCTTTTTGTATTTCTCTCTTCCTCTCTTATTCCCTCCTTTTATATATCTCTCTCCCTCTCTTATTCTCTCCTTTTGTATTTCTCTCTTTCTCCCACCTTCTCCCTTATCCTCTTACCTTCTCCTTTCTTTAAATTTCACTCCTCTCTCCTTCCCTCTTTGTATTTCTATTTTCTCTCTCTTCTTGTCTCTTTTTCTCCCTGCTCCCCTCGTTTCCCCTCTCTCCCTCCTTCCTCCTCTCGCTCCCACCCCTCTCTCACCGCGATAATAGGCACCGCCATAGGGAAGGGAAGAGAAAAGGGGTTTGTGTATCCTAGGGGACGCGTCCCGTGCTTGAACTGTGTCTAGATTAATGGACAGATAGGGCTCTTATTATATGGGAGGCCTGTAAGACAATGAACTGGCCAATCTGCCATCTTTTTCGAAAGGGCAGGGAGTAATTTGAATTCCGTTTCACGTGGAGAACCGGTGAGCCGTACAGCGATACCATCGATGAGGTTGTTGTGTTGTCCACGGTCCAGCTGATTGGTTTATTGAAAAATTGACGACAGGGGGTAGATGAAGCGAACGATTCTCATTTTTCCCCTTTTCTTTTTGCCTCGAGAACTCGACCGTTCCACGCAAATATCGATCAAAGATTAACGAACAAGGGGATTTAACAATAGCTTGATTAATTCAAACTCGCGTCTTCACAGTAAAACATTGAATTGTCGAGTTGATAATTTCAGATGACACAGAAATGCTTAAATAATAAGAAATAACTAACAAACTGATAAAACGATGCATTTTTAAAATTAGTGTTGCGACCTGATTAGGACGCAACGAAGTCTCGGTTCGGCGGATTATAGTAATAAGCCACTTAGTCACATTTGACCGCCAGACCGAGGTGCCGACCCCCCGTGAACGCATCAGCGCGACACTCGGACAATAGGTCCCAAAAACACTCGGGACCATAAAACATTCGAATTTGTTTACAACACAGTTTTCGTCGACACCACGTTTTCCACCTCCATAACACAACCACCAATCAGAACCAACCTGATGTCTGTATATACACCAACACACCTGAAAACCTTCAATCACTGTAAGACAAGTGCACGAGACATGTCGTCGCGTAACGAACAATCCAAATTCAACTAAACATCTAAAACACATCTAATCGAACCAAGAATTCATCCAAACATCTACAACATCTAAGCAAAATAAAAAACATCTAACCCAACAACGAAGTTTTAATACACCTCGAACCAGCGAGAACAATCATCAACCTGCGCCAGAACTCCTGATCATAAGACTTGATCAAGGTCCACGACGCAACAATTAGCAATCTTTTCTTACTTAAACGTTGGAGAATTTTTAATTTTGAAAAGAGTTAGTCTATTTCTTCAAAAAATAGAAGTTGAATTAACATAAAATTGCATTGTGACAAATTGAGAATTCATTTTTCCTTTAAAAATTGAATGTCTAATTAGGTGTGAGAAAATTATAACATAAATGCTGCAACAATCATCAACCTGCACCAGAACTCCTGATCATAAGACTTGATCAAGGTCCACGACGCAACAATTAGCAATCTTTTCTTACTTAAACGTTGGAAAATTTTTAATTTTGAAAAGAGTTAGTCTATTTCTTCAAAAAATAGAAGTTGAATTAGCATAAAATTGCATTGTGACAAATTGAGAAATTCATTTTTCCTTTAAAAATTGAATGTCTAATTAGGTGTGAGAAAATTATAACATAAATGCTGTAAATTTCTTTTCTTTTACGAAATTCGGAACCAATTACAAACGTATTATAGCGTCGTAACAAACTAAAAAGGAAAAGAAAGCAATCTCAGATAATTCACATTTCTTAATTTGTTTATTTTAAATTTCATTTGCAAGGTTGCATTTTTCCACTTTGTTTCGCTGGTAGAAGGACAGAATAACAACCGTGATATTTCCTAAAATTATTCACCGTTCGTTTATTCAGCCAGATTGAAATAATTCGAACGACACCAGCGTAGATATAATTTACAAGCATACCGTAGATGATAATTTGCGTACTTTTACCCTCCGAATTGAATTTTATTTGCTCGCTGCTTGTTTGTTGTTCTACATTTTAATTAAGGACACGAAGTGTGTTTACGCGCGTCAACTGACGCTTTCGACAGAACTTCGTCTGTGCACCGGTATATGCTGAAAATATCCGCGGTTTCGATGCTTTCTACCTTTTCATTCGCATTTATTTTTGATAAAAAAACAAATGCTTCGCCTCGTGATTAGTTCGGCCTCGATTAAAACGTCGATCGAAAGTTACTGCAATGAAAAGGTAATAACGTGACAATAGCAATAACATAGTTCGTATTGTTGGTACCGATATTTTATCGTTTTTATCTGAAATTCAGTGAAATTTTTCGAAAAGCTTTTATCAGGGGAATTTATTTCAATATTTAATTTTTTATTCCTGGCTTAACAATTTTCAACCGTATTTTGGTATGTGTATGCATTTTTTGGAGTACAGTAGTTTTCTAGCAAATTTTTTGAAATTTTATTGTAGTTTTGCTAAGTACTTTTAGCAATTTTCATCGTGAAATTAGTATCCGTGGTGTTTGTAATTATCGCACGTTTTTGAAATGTCGGTACACTTCAGTGGAAAGTATCACTTTTAGCAGAACTGAACAGAAATATTTCCAAAACACATTGAAAAGTACCAAATTTGTTATCTAAAAAGAACACTCAAGATCAATACCAATATTTCCAAAATATTCCTTTTCAAATACAATAAAAAATACCAAATTTGCCACCTAAAAGGAACACTCAGCACCAACACCAATATTTCCAAAATACTCCTTTCCAAAACACCCAAAAAATACCAAATATGTAATCCGAAAAGAACACTCAACCCCAAAATACAGCAAGAAGTACCAAATTTGTAATCCAAAAAAGAAACACTCAACACCAACATTGCCAAAATATTCCTTTTCAGATACTCCCAAAAACACCAAATTTGTAATCTAAAAAGAACTCTCAATACAAACACCAAAATTACCAAAATACACCCAAATAGTACCAAATTTGTAAACCAAAAAAGAAACACTCAACACCAACACCAAAATACACCAAAAAGTTCCAAATTTGTAATCCCAAAAGAAACACTCAACACCAACACCAACACCAACCATCCACCATCCACAACACGCACACAGCGATCGCTCCACCTAAAGTAACCCCTCGAAAAAAAGATCCCAAAAAACGAAAACAAAAAAGAAAACTGTCCACGACGAGGACAGTCACCGATGTTCACTGACCAGTCACTGATCGATATCTCCAGCGAACCTAACCATCTTTTCCACGGGTCCGGTGTGCACAGACGAGCGAGAAAGAGTAAGAGGGGCTTAAGTTTGATTTGGCAGAGATCGACTCCGCCCTTCTTCTCCCCTCTCTCTTATTTTTTTTTACGCCTACGGTTCTTCACTTCCGGTCTCCCGGTTGGGGAAAAAAAGGGAAAGAAGGATCTGTCGTCTGGTGCGGCGTGAAACGTCCATCGTGTGCAACGTGGATTCCTACGTGTGTAGAGTGGCTACGGTCGATGCAACGACCAAGAGACGAGGAGAAGACCGGGGGAAATAGAACAGGGGAAAGAGAGCAGAGGAGACAACGAGCTCGAGAGCACACCAGAGGAGGTGGGTGGTGGGAGTGAGGGTGATGAGGGGGTGGGAAAAAAGAGGAAGAAGTA